TCTTTTTATTGCGAAAGCGTAAAAACGAAAGTGCCAAGTGGCTTGGCTCCTTGGAATGAAGCCATCTCCTCCTCCTCCTGATTTTTCCTCATCTGACTGGTCAATTGCCGCATTGCATCATCTTGCACATCTCATATTTCGTTTATAGTCGACGTCTCGGCGGCTGTAAATACCAAATATAATTGTTTAACTGTCCATAAAAATGAGGCAACATAAAAGGCGACCCTTTGCCAACTACGAACGTCCATTGAACTTGGCGCAGATTGGGGCTCCAAAAACGCCTCAAAGAGATTTCTTTGAGAAAATAAATTCACACCCAAGTGGCAGAAAGTATCTGGTGGATTGGTTGCCCCTCCAAACTACCTGACAGTGTCCCATCCATCAATCGGTGAAAAGATTGCGCCACAGGTCAGCAGGTGTTTGAGTTGTTTGGGGGTGGAACTCAAAGGCGTAGAGCCAGATGATCTTCGGGTTTTGTTTTCCTTGAGAACTACAAGTTGAGACATCAGCAAGGTGTGGGAAAATAAAGGGAATCGCATCAAGGAAGCTGCGTGGTTAAATGAGGGATAATTGGTGTGGGAAATTTTGTAATATTTTCGTTGGTTTAAAAATAGAAATAATTGTATTTTAAATATATATTTAATTGTATACCTAAAAAGGGTATTACAAAAGTCTACGAAAAGGTTAATACTAAAAATATATCAACACTTAAATGGATGATAGATGGAAATAAAGAAAAACGATCGAAAAACTGTATCGTAAACTATACTTATTAAATTGAATTAAAACAATTAAAATTTAATCAAATTATATCGTAAAATATTTATTATCCCCTTTTGATAACATGAATGTCAAGGATAATAAATTATCCTCAAATATTCGTAAGCGATTGTATAATTACGCGAGTATCTAAAAAACAAATTAGTGAGTTTCCCCTTACCATTTCTACCATAAAATGCCAGATAAATACGGTTCGAAACCGAAAACTCTCTATTATATCGGTGGCGGTTCCCTTTCGCCACATTCCTGATCATTAACTGCATTTCGTTTGGCCGCACACAATCTGTCGCCATAAACCGAACCGAAAGAAACGAACGTAAGCCGTCGTCTATTGAGCAAACTTGATTTATGAGCGATTGCAATTGCAGATATTTTCGCTATCGCCACTCTCACTCTCTTTTGGTCCATTTGGAAAATTGCATGTCAACGGAAATTGCTTAATCATTTCCACGCATATCAAATGTATACCACTATACCAAATACCATAGATATATGACTAATTCCATCTGTCTGCCTTCTTCCTTACTTGCAGGTAAGTTTCACTGATATCTATGCCTGTTTTTTTTGGGCCAAAGGCAATCAAAGGAAATCATTGCGTAAGTCAATAAAAAAACGGACTTGATTTGTTTACTTAGGACTTCCCCTTATATAATCAGGTTCCTGCGAGGAAGTGGTTCATAAAAAAAGGGAGCCATTAGCATGTTCAGTCTAAAAAGTGATTCCCATAATGGATTTTCCAATCAATGCAGCCAATGATTATGCACAGAAAAAAAATAACAAAATATCAGATTGATATGCGCTGGTCAATTTTATATTTCTTAAAGATCCAAATGATATGAATTTTTTACATTATTGGTTCAAAAAATACCAAATTTTGTATTCTATATGTTTGATTCATAAATTTTATATAAATCATATCACCTTTTGATTGATTGAATAAGGTATAATTGATCCTATTTAATATCGAATTTTTTTCTGTGTGATTATGCTCACCAGTCGCAAGCAATAAAATTATTGGCTCATTTGGTCAGGCGGCTAGCAAAATAAGGAGAAAATGATCATCGCCACTCCTTGATTATCATGAGCATCATATCTCCTTGGGTGAACCAACCACTACCTGACCCCTTGTCGCGCCTAACGATCTTTAACCTGGCCAACAACGATCCCGTCTCGGCCCAGACAGTCTGCCTCTTTTGTTGTTATTGATCGCTGTAAAACACACACACAGCATTCAAACGTGCGTCGAGTACTTTGTATCTCTCTGTATCTCAGTATCTTTGTATCTGGCGAATGCATTTCGTTGTATCTCAAGTGTCTGTCTTTTTTACAAATGTTTGCCTGGCTCATTTGCAAAATCTGCTGGGTAATCAGACACCGGGCTAGGGATGTCAATTAGCTTTTGCTGCTGCCTGTTTTGCCAAGTGCGTGACCATTGAACCTGCATTTCCCCTTTTTCCCTGTGAAGTGAAAGTAAAATCTGCCAGTCGTTCAATGAACTTTCTTGGGAACTTTGCAAAAACACAAAAAAAAGAAACAAATTTAAGCTCTCCCGCCCCCAGAACTAATTGAAGATTTCATATCTCTGATTTTATAGCCTTGGCCCTTTGCAATCTCAGTTGTTGGCTCCTAGAGTAAAGCAGACAATTTATGATACAAATTAAATGCATGGAAATTATGATGAATGCGAGGCAAAATTTATGCTGATGACATAGCCAACAAAAGAGCGCCAATCCGCCCCAGACTCCTACGGCTCCCTAAACTACTCCTCCTTCGGCTCCTCCTGCTCCTCCGATTCCTGGAGGGCAGCTCCAATCAAGAGCCAGACGATCCACAGACAACAAATCGCCGAGTCGAGGAGTTTGCGGCCCAAGTCGTTTGTTGTGCATGTTTTACACAGGAAAAATATATAATCCACATAATGGGGTTCTTAAAAATAAAATTGAATTCCTAATGATTTGAAATAATCTAAAAGGTGTCTAAAATTATTCAGAGAAAAACCATTTAGGACTTTAAATATTTTGTTGCATACTTTTAAACACCTTCTTACTGCATGATGAAATGATAATGATTTTAAAATGATCATCGATAGACAATTTTTTTTACTGTAGTTCATATATGTGCTAGGAACAATATTTAATCAAAATCTATCAAAAATCCAAGAAAATTTGCAAGACATTCTACTAAAATTCCTGTTAGTTAGCTATTATTATCTTTAATCTTTTTTCTCAGTGTAGTCTTGAATCGGGTCCTAAGATCCATTGCCTCCCGCCTCTCCCTTTATCGTTTTTTGAGCAGCTGCCGAGGTGGGGAATCCAGCGACTTGGACTCCTTGTGGCTTGTGTTGTAGTATAGGTTGTTTAGCCAGCCTGCCTCTAGCCGAAAGTTGTTGCGTATTTAAAATGGAAATTGCAAGTTTTTCGCTTAACGTTCCCAATGTCTCCTTCTCCTTCCCAGTCTCTCTTGCTCGCTCGTCGGCGCTTTTGTTTCACTTTCGTTTGCTGATTGCAGGTTTTTTGTGCTTTTTGTTTTTAGCTTATTTTGATTTTTTTGTTGTATTTTTTCGTCTTATTCAGTGCATTTATCACGGTGCCACACATTTGTGCCACAAGACGCCAGAAGATCGGGCAACCAAAGAAATTGGTAAAGTAAGCCTGAAGTTTCATTTTCCATTTCATTTTCATTTTTGCAAATTGAATGCGGTTTTTCAGGCTGATTATTTCAAGGGTGAACGACGATTATTGACCGGCACACGCCTCTTTCGTCATCGTTTTTAGGTGAAATTTCTCTACAAGTTACCATCCATCTCTTATCCATCCGCAGTTTTGTCATCTTTCTGCCAGTTTTGACCGGCTGACAGGTTATGAGATATTTCGCAACTTTTGCTGCGAATAATTTCCTGTTTTTCTTTATTTCACTTACGCACTTCTCCTTCCTTCGACTGAGTTCGGTGGGTCTCTCGGCCGATCGGTATTAATTATTATGGTCTCGTTTTTTTCGCCTTACCAATTTTTTTTTCGTTTGCCGCTTTTATTTTTAATGCCCGGCGAACCTGTTGCAATGCGTTCCACAAGCTGAGATTTTTGCGACTGGGTGTGGGGAGATAAATAGTTATGAGGTTTTGGGTAAGATTGGGTTGAGCCGAGATGAAGGAAAACTGGGATCTTGAAAGGCGGATTTGCTGTTTTTTTCAAAGGAAAAATATATATTTTGAACTCAGCTTACGTGTTTTGTTTATTTAATATAATTTTAAATTATTAAAATAATAATTACAAGACTCACTCCATCAAAAGTGTACAAAAAAATAATTTTATCTATAATATTAGTAAGAAAAAATTCCACAAAAATATAGTAGTGTCATTTACTGTCTCAAAAATAGGTAAACGCCTTCTGTTTCCCATGACCAACCCAAGTTCTTACGCCACAAGCCAACCAACCCTTACTATTTCACCCATTAAAACCATTTAGCATTCATTAGGTCCAATTTCTGGCCTCATAGTGCTCGGAATAATCAACAAATTAACTAAATTCCTAGTGGGCGCCCCCCACTATCAAACCGAATAATCCAAATTCCGAAGTTGTGACAGCAAGAAATGTCACAGCGATTTCAGGAGCAGGCCGCAAGAATCTTGAAAACATATCCGAACATTCCAAAAAGTCGGGATGCAACTTGTGCGATTATCACAGATATTTCCGAACATGTTCGAAACGAACCTCATGATGAGGTTGCATGGAATCCATGGGATACAATCCACAAGATACTTTGTAGCAGCCGCAAGCCAGCGGAATTTCAATTCAGTTCGCGCTCAACTCACAGCCACGATGGTCATGCAAACGCGTTAACGAAAGAAAAATATATTTATATAAATAATACAAATAATTCGAAATAATAAAAACACTAAAATATGCACTAAACCAAGTACTCATACCCAAAACCAAACGAACTGTAAATAATTGTGTAAATAAACATAAAAAATAAACATAAAACTTGAAAGAGAAACCGCGAGATACCAAAAGACCGCTCAAGTTCCCATACATTGAGCTGGCCAATTGTGTTTGAAAATATTTGTTTGATCGATTTCGTGTGTGTGAACAAAAAACACCTTGTGAAGGCATTTTTCTAGAAAGCCCATTGCCATAGCGAGCAAAGTGTGTTAAACAGGAAAAAAATAAAACACCCTCTTAAAAGTTTATATCTACAACCCTCTTTCGACCGAGTTAACCAACTAAACAACCTACCACAAGAAAACAGAGTTCAATACCTACCCACCCCCTTTAAAGTTTCGGTTTTTTACGCGCCTGCTGACTAATTGCCTTTTATATAGCCCGACTATATAAAACTGTACAATAAGACACGGCCAACTGTTATAATTTTGCCAAGCCTAAGTTAAAGCTGGAAATTGCTTCGCTCTAAAGTGAAGTTTGAAATTTTCGCAGCGAAAAACGTTTTTTTCAATTGATTTTTATTGAGTGAGAACGAGAACCCCTTCTGTTTCGGTTTCTAATTGAAGACAATTACTGGCATAAAAAGTGAACTGCATTCCAAGTAGAGCAAAACAGTAACTACTTCATCATCTTCAGCACATCATCAAGATTCAAATGCTGCATTATTAGCATTCATTTTCTGTGGGGCAACAACGAAAACGAAAAAAATAAGCGGAAAATGTATCTCATACAGGTGAGGCCAAGCGATACAATAGATCCCATCTCATTTCATCTCCCTCTCACATAATTAAGTGTTTGCTCTTACTTATCACTAAAATGCTGGCGGCACACTGCACTTGCATACTCTGAAAAAGAGGTCTTCATTTAAGCGTTTTTTAATTGTCCGCCAGCTGAGATTTCTTTACTTTACACTTCCCCCCTGAAGAAGTCTATGTGCTGCGTGCCTCTTTCTAGCGTATATAATTTGTTTAATTTGTAGCTAATTTATCTTTCCACTTGCCAAGCAGCGGGTAGATCGTATGGCTGCATGATATAGGGGTTCACTGGAGCAGGTGGCTCTCATTACTGAACTATGAACTTGAAACGGTGTTACGATTTACAGCTGCTAATGGAATACGAGTGGGTTTCCGGGGTTTCGAGTTGGCAGAACGAAGTGTTTAGCTTTGGTTAAAAGAAAATCAAATATTTTGACACAACGATGTTCATTAATCATTTTAAAGTTTATGTAATCCTTAAAAATCCATTACATGGGAAAAAGTATTATAAAGAATGGTAAAATCTTATCTAGATATCTCAATGGAAAGATAAAATAATATTTAAATATTTTAACAGCGGAAAATAGAATTTTTTAGATATTTAAATCTATTATGTGATGATTTATTTCCAAAGGTAAAATATAAAAAAGAGTTATAATAATTCCTTTAAATTACCTTTAAATTACCTTTCGAAATAAAGAAATCAAACTCTTTTGAAATATCTTTCACTTTACTTTTCATCAGAATTGTTAAGGTGTCGCCTTCAAATTATTCAGAAATTCAATTCGAATTTTTTCCCAAGCTGTATAAAAATTAAAGCAAAATTCTTTTGAACTAAAATGTCTAAGAACTCGCCACTGGATCAATCCGATGTACGTTTGACTGTGCTGCATGCTATGTCGGAATTGGTGAATACTGGTCTAAGTAAAGATACTCTTAAAATCTGCATGGAACTGGTGGACAATGGCGTTTCTTCTCGGGCTTTAGTGCAGATTATCAAGACCATTAGAGAGGGTGTTGAACAGAAGGAAAGCGGCGGAGAGGACCCCGAATCGGAAAGCGATGATTCCGATTTACCATCTCCCGTAACATGCAGAAAATTATACTGAAAATTATTTTATTTTGTTCAAAATAAATGTTGAGCTTTTATATTTTCTGCTTTTGAATTTAGTTTTTTAAATATCTTATGGACATCCATTGCAAGTATTTTCCAGGCTCTAAAATTTTCCCTCGCTATTTGTGTTCATCAAACGCAATTGATTGTTATTTCTAAACACTGTATAAGTGCCAGCCAATATAATAAAAAGCTGCACCACTTTGGCTTGATAATAAGTCTGAAAAATAAGATATATTCAATTAAAAGTTCTAAACAACTAAGGAATCAACTTGCCTGTCTTATATAGATGGGCAATGGAATATGCGATCGATGAACTTGATAATCCATTCCCCGGAAAAGCCAATACCCCGGCCACGCCCCCAAACTGGCAAAAAGAAAGGGGGCGGCTGTTCTGTAGGCATTTTCAAAGGATTTTGAATGCACCAATAGACGTATCTCCTCGCCAAGATTATGCCTTTGAGGAGGGTTCACCAGTTCCTTGGTTGGTTCTTCTTTTTTTGTGATCTTCAGGATTTTCTCCTTTAGATTGCTGTAATAACTTTGGATGCCCATTTTTAAAAGATTTAGAATTTAGTTTATAAGTGTGAAAATTGGGCTAGACATGTAAATCAAAGCTAACCTGAGTTAAGAGGAATCTTCAATATCATCCTCTTCGGACTTGTCATGATGAACTTTTTCCAATTTAATAGGGAAACCGGCAGTTTGACCCATTGAAACGGTTAAAAAACCAGTGGCCAAGATGGCAAACTGCATAAGTTTGGCCTGCTGATAGGTCTAAAAAATAAATTTCCTTAAAGGGATTTTTTAATAATATTAAAGATTAACCCACCCTTTGAATATAAAGAGCAATTCTCTCGGTTTTCCTTTTAGATTGCCAATTGTATCCCCGCCAAATCCAAAAAGCTGGCCAAGATAAGAAGCTGACTTGCAAATAGGGCAGCATATCCATTATCTTTTTTGAGAAACCCTTGGGAGCATTGCGATCCACAAAGTCAACGAATTCCAGTTCGTAATTTAAGGGAGGGGCTTTTTGCTGCGTGAACTTTTGCAACTTGAGATCAGGGGTTGGCAGATCACCAGAGGTTATGGGTTCCGTCGAGGTATCGGATGGAGATTGGTCGTCTGGCTTCCCAGTTTCCTGATTCGAAACATCCGATGTTTTGGCTTCTTCTTCTGGGGTCTCTACATTTTTGGGAGTTAATATAACCTCTTGAGTTGCTGTCGAGGAATTATTAAAAAGCTCTGAAATCTTTTGGCGCAGCGTATCCATGCTGAATTTTAAATTTATATTTTTTTAGGTGCCAAATTAAAAAAGAAAAGTGTACTGGGTTTTTTGATTAAGAAGTTCATTAAATAAATTTTCTTTTCGTTTTTTGGTCGAAAAGTTCAAAGACCTGTAACCATTGCATAAATTATCGCCTTAACCCATTCGTTCGTTCATGCGGGCTTTACATTTGTTTTCCAACTAATTTAGCTTATTTAATTTTTCTATTTTTTTGGGCCCACAGAAGCCGCGTAGCAAGCATTAGCTTTTATAAACGAACTACGGGTGCCCAAGACTGGTGGGGTTCCATAGTATGCTATATGGTATATAGTGTGGTGCCGAAGTGGGTCAGTTGGTGCAGCGGTTCATGCAATTATAAAGCGCATATCTACAGGTTGCATACCAGATAGAGATACCTCTACTTCGACTTCTACTTGGACTCTTGGGTCCATTGTGTGGCGGTAGCTAAATGCTAACGGCTTGGACAGCAGGTGTCTCCTCAGTTCATTGTGTTTTGTTCTGGGTTTTCTGTGTTTTTTGTTGTTCTTTTTTTTTTGGTTGAAAATGTGGCTTACCTTCGACGAAAAATTTTCGTGTGTTGTGGCAGCAGCTTCCTGCCACTATCTGGATTTTGTAAACTAGTTTTTCTCTCTAGCTGGCGATGGGGAACGAACGCCTAATGATCAATGCATTTAATCAAGTAAATTACGAAAATACCGAAAGAAAAACAATTTAACGGTGGATAGTATGGCTTATACCGATATCTATAGAGATTCCTGGGGACAAAGACGCACCTAATGAAGTGAAAATCTTCTCTTGGATTCTTTTGTGGGTTAGAGTTCTTTTGATTCGATTCTTTGGCCATTCCTGATGGTTCATCAGTCATGTGGAAAGTTGACATCTAACACTCTAACAGTTCTTGGGAGATCTCTGCAGATCTTTCATAGAGAAGTCTTAGAATTGATCCACTTGCCCACTTATTTACCTGAGCGTAGCAGCATATTACCATTTTAAAACCATTATTTCTACCCGTTTCCAGCTTCCCATCTTCTTTACGGACTCACAAACCAAACTACTCAAGCGTTCAGCTTTCATTCAAGACGTTTTGAAACCACAAATTGCATTTGTAAGACTTCCCAAACAGATCGATTCCATAAAAACTCTCCTCATCTCTCGCATTTCTCTGGAAATCCACAGCCTACACACCAAAATTCTTCTACCTTTTTTTCTGAACTGTTCAAAGTCAACGCTCAATTAACCCAATTTCAATTTGGGAAAATGATTTGCGAAAATCCAAAAAAATAAATCGTTTTGAAAGTCGTTTGCTGGGCCTTTTGGTTGTCAAAACACTCGAGCATAAATCACTACTACAATGAAATTTCTTTTCGCCAACTCGCTTATTTTTTGCGGCCCACCTGCAATTAGTCTGTTCAGGTGGGTGTCCTATGTCCGTCCTCTCTTTCACTCCTCGAATCGTGTGAAATTGCAACTCTAACTGCGGTCAATGTTAATATACCTTTCGGCCAAAAGAAAAAAAAAACGATTTACTCGTAATTGGTAAATTGTATAATCAATTTACGTCTGTAAATGTCTGGCTTTTCTGTGAAAGGTCTGCTCGAGCGACAGGTGACGACTCTTGAGGTGTCAAGTGCGCTAAAATCGTTTGAGATTGGTTACCAAAAATGGTTTAATTTCGATTACATTTACGAGAGTTGCTTAATTTTTGAGTTTGAAGATGTGATGAACAGGCTCTATGAGTCATAAAAATAAATCTTCGTTGAACAAAAGAGTTGAAAGATCAATTAATGTGAAAGAAAGCGGCTCTATTAATTTATTAAGTTTTAACTGAGATTTAAGGGTTAAATTGTAAGTTAAGTTATGACTTTAAAGACATAACAAAGTTAAATTCCCCGCTTTTCATCTTACAAACCTAAGATTCTTATAAAATTTCCATACCTAAAAGCTTTTAAGGCGCAGACCATCTAAGAACTTTTCAAAATCCGTTTACCTTGACTTTCCATCAGGCACTAATCTTGATCTTTCTGTTTTTAACTGCATATCCACTTTGAGCTACCGGCCTTGTCAGAGAAGCAATGAATCTTCAATCTTTTGAACCTGCCTCTGCAACAAGACGGCAAAAAGCCAATCCCCCAATAGTCTCATGCCTCATCATTCTTATTCTCTGCATTATTATAAAATGCCGCATCACTCCCCGCCAATCTCGACTAGCCCATCTCCTCAAAAAACAAAAAAAAAGAGGCCCGCATACCAAACGAAAACCCGAGCATATTACTCAATTTTCAATGCTCAGATTTCGGACAGACAGCGAATAAAAAAACACAAAGGGCAAAACGAAGATGCCACACCAAAAACTATATAAACAATGCTCGCAGTTGACACTTTGACAAATGATATTGCGGCTGAGAATCCGATAAGAACTCGGAACAGAGAGGCCCATACATCAGAAATGCGACATATTATGGAAAAGAAAAACAAAAACAGAGAATTCTAAAGTGAATGTGATGCTAAAACCTTGGATTGCCGTTACACTGGGTCAACAACTTGGAAAAAACGAGACGAAATGGGGGGACGGACTCATCTGGATTCTAGACTGATATTGATATGGATTTGCTCTAGATTTACACATGAACGAGTTGATGATCCTCAAATAACGTCTGTGGTTTGTCGATTCAAATTGGGTTGGGTTCGTTGCGTTTGGGTTTGTAATAAGATTCTTTTTTAGGAGTCACTGGCCATTTGATCTTGGCCAGCTGAAATCCTCAGCTAAGTCTTGTGGAATTTTGTTTATGTTTTTGGGCGAGGCTTTCATCCTCTTTGGGATTCGGATTCGGATTCCTTTCATTCTTTTTTCTGGGGTGTGGACCATATAATTCCGCATTCCCCTGACATGAAATATGTATCAATTTAATTACCCCGAAGTCCTGAACACGCAATTAATGTTCACGTAGGGAACCCTTTTCGAACCATCCCTCTTTTTTTTCGAAACAAACATTTTTATGAGGTTGCAACAAACAATAAGACGACACACCTACAACTACCTGAAACTAGAGAACAGGATTCTGTAATTCCTTGAAAAAGTCAGGCTAAAGAATAGAATAAATACTACCTGTTTCTTTCTTCGCTTACCTTTCTTTTGGATTTTCTTTAGGATGATTTATCTTTGACAGACTCATTTCATGCCCTATCAATTCGGAAAACTGGGTATCCCCTTTGAATTTAAATATTTTATGGGGCCTCCAGTTCATTGCCTTTGAGGCGTGGTTCTTAATGCAATCAAAACCATTTGTTAAGGTGTTTTTCGGAGGCGTAAGAGTTTCTTTACCTTTTGAAGAACCCCAAGTTTTGATAGCTAACGTAGCGAATCAGGCGTTTATATTTCCCACTTAGAATCGGTTTTTGAAAAGCGGAACTCACGCTCCAATGTAATTCGATAGACCCACGAGGAAAACTTGTTTTTTATTTTTACTCGTATTTTTTCCATCGATAAACTTGGCATGACTACTGAGGCCACGAGTCGAGGCAGGCATTACTTTTATTGTTGTGCCTTTATCTATATTTAATTTAATCGATGCAAATGCTCGAGAGTCATGAACAGACTTACTACTACACCGACAAAAATTATCAAAGAAACCAAACTATTCGAGACTAAATTTTAAGCTGTTGAGTTTCAAGAAGATGAATATTAAATTAAAACTTTAAGAACTTACGGAAGAGAATTATAAGCTTTATATTATTTTGTATTAAATCAATACTGAACTTCTGTTTAGAGTTAAACTATGCCTTTTTTGTTTGGGTGTACCGATTGACCTTCAAATGTCTTCAAAGAAATGCGTTAAAAAAGTTTACCTTAATGACCATAATTATGTTCGATTGAACCACTATGTTTCTCTTGTTTTTTCCCCGTTTTTTATGTATTATTAAGCGAAATTATTGGCTGGTCATATAATTGCCGCACGTGTTTCAGCTGGACAGAAATAAAAAGAAATTCGTTTTATATGCTGATGTTGATGTGCATGTCCATGTACCCATGACACATGTCAGGTGGAGATTGTAAGATTGGGAGGGGATTTTTAGGGGGGAGATTCGGGTGGGGAGATGAGGGCAATCCCCGTGCGTCTGACATTGATGAAATGGGCTTTTATGGCCATGTTTTTGGTGATGGAGAGTTGTGTAATTGTTGTCTCACGTTGAATGGCATGTCGAATAGAGGTTTTGATTTATTTTCTTTGTTATGAAGATAATAGTGAATAAAGGGGAAAAGTTTTGCTCCTTCAAAGTGTAAGTCTAAGTAAATCCCCTGGCAAAAATAAGTCTTAAGTTCCAATTTGCTTTTATTATTTTAAGTTGCCGTGTGCACGTCGCCTGTGTAAATGAAATTTATTACGTGATCGTCTCGGTCGACAACTAAATCTTTGGCATTAAGTGGAAAAATAATCTCGTAAAAAGTAGTTGGGGGAAAAATATAATGGAAAATTACTAGAAAAAACATTTGTGTGGTCCGGTGAGGCAATGGAAGTGGGGAAAGAAAAGCAGATTGTTATCTGAAGATCCAGAAATTAAATTGAGTTCAGGATGGGATGCACAGGAAAAAACTGTAGAGCATATAAAATAATTTTATTCATTCTCAAAAATTTCCATTGTATTTTGAAACCATTTTTACAATGCAATTTGCTTCTATTGCACTTTTTTGTGGCTCACCACGAGCCAGTTTCTTATGACAAATAAAAATTCATTTCGAAATATGATAGAAAATGAATCAATTGGCTTTATGCAATTACGTAAAAAACAATTTTCCAATTTTGATTTCTTTTTGGTTTTCTGTGACTCTCTTTTCCTCACCCATTTCTCAAGTAATTACCAAATCCAATTAAGTTCAATAGCAATTCGGTTGGGGAAAAAAGGGAAGAGAAGACAAAACAAACAAAATCAGATGGTTTGTTGTTTAATTACTCGGTTTAGCCCTTAGTTTATTGCTCTTTATCGCT